GTGGTGGAGGTGATTCAGTTTGAAACTTACGACAGCACGTGCACTTTTTAGGCATAATTTTATTCATTTGATTTGGTCCCTCCAGAGCCTAGAGTAGTGTCTTCTCTCGTGGAAAACAAACAATGACGTGCCCGATATCTTGAATGAATGCAACTGTGGCACCCTTGCTGGTAAGGGTAGGACTCAGTCTTCCTGGAGCGCCAGCCTGGACTGGGGCACGGCGTTCCCACAGCCACCCGGCAGGCAGCACATCACAACTGGCCCTGTGAGCCTCCTTCCCTCCCAGGGCCCATATGCAGTGAGTCATATTGCAAGACTCCCAGCAAAGGAAACCAAAATACAGGGCGTGGCAGACGCCTCTTCCCAACCCTTGACATGCTCTGCCACGAAGACAGTTACCTGTTTCCTCACAGACCTATTTCCACCGTATTTCCAAGGACTCGACCACTGCCCCGCACACAGGGCAGACTTCTAGGCCCCCCTGGATCCCAGACAAGACTCTGTCCCACCTGCCGCCAGGCGACTACAAGACCCGTCTTTCTAAAACGCAGGTATGACTGTACCTTGTGATCAGAGCCCACAGCTCTCCAATACATTGGCATCAACCACAGGGGAGGCCGTGAAGGCCACAGAAACCTGCAGGCCTTCTGCGCGGGGCCCTGCCTGCCGCTCCGTGTTTTCCTCACTCCCTGCAAATTCCAACCCTCGTGTCCAGTGACGGGAAAAATATCCCTGGTCTTCGCTACGACTCCTACTCAGTGCACATCTGCTCTCGCTGAATGCCACACTGAACTGTACTTACTGACTCCCAAATCTGTGCCTCCCGCTGGACCATCAGAGATTGAAGGGTCGGGAATGTGCCTCGGTACGTGCAGTGCCTAATCCAGAGACATGTTTGGGTTGAATTGGAAGTGGGTGTAGAGTCCTTAATGCTTGTCTTAGGTGTTACTCCTGCCATCTATGACCCTGAGCTACAAACACAGTCGTGATGAGCAGCACTCTGCGTCTGTCTGAAAACAGACATGTCACGAGTTGTATACTCGTTGTGTAAACATATATGGTATGACTATATATCTACTTCAATTTGTAAGAGCGTGTTTGAAAGTTCTGTAGTTTCTGGAGGTAAAAACGTGTACCTTTATGCTTGTGCAAGTTGTTTTCCTGAATAGAATTCAGAGCATTTTATTTTATTTTATTTTATTTTATTTTTTTTTAAATTTTTTTTTCAACGTTTATTTATTTTTGGGACAGAGAGAGACAGAGCATGAACGGGCGAGGGGCACAGAGAGAGGGAGACACAGAATCGGAAACAGGCTCCAGGCTCTGAGCCATCAGCCCAGAGCCCGACGCGGGGCTCGAACTCACGGACCGTGAGATCGTGACCTGGTTGAAGTCGGACGCTTAACCGACTGCGCCACCCAGGCGCCCCAGAATTCAGAGCATTTTAAAGAAAAAGCTCACCCAGTCTTTAACTTCATGATCTACAGTGATGAACTGTCAACAATTCAGGATTGTTAGATGACGATAATCCACCTCTATATTAACTCTCTTTGGACCAAAATATTAGTTAAAAAAAAAAAAAAACAAAACTTGAAATTATCCTCAATTATCATAAAACTGAAAGTGAAAATTTCTCTAAATAGAATATGTTTCCCACTGTAAATTTAAATTATAAATAAATAAAAATACCAACAACCAAGTAGAAAATAGGTTTCCCTTAGTATTTGTATTTTAACACTGAAGGAAAATCCCAATAAATGTAGGATAATCTTGTGTTTTACTTTTCAAGTATTTTCAAATTTAGCCTAAAACAATCTTTTTGATGTTACAATTGTTGGTAAGTTTTCTCTGATCCTACTTTTTAGAGGCATCCATCTAAAAAGATTTCTATATGCACCTGAAGGAGGATGCTGTTTAATTAATGATATATAACTTAGGTCATGATATATGTGATGGTAATTGCCATAATTTATCAATCTCTTTTCATGGTTAGGCTGTGATTCTCTTGAAGGGAGGAAACATTCATTTTGTTTCCTTACAGCCGAGCACAAACAAATACTCAACAATTGTGGGTGGACAGGAGACTCCTCTTAGCCTAACACAGAAAAGAGTAGACGATGTAATATGTGAGAGGAATAATCCACAAAGTCTCCACCTGACTAGATGAAAAACAAGCCAATGGCTTTCTATGAAGTCAAGTGAGTGTTTATATTATGTGAAAGTTTTAAATTCTATAAGCAACAAAAGGAAAGGGAATAATTAATGCTGAACACATCAAATTGGCCCCTCTTAAATACTGTTAACAATTACACACTTATGTCTCATATTAAATTCACCTAAATCAACTCTAATGGCCCTTGAATCATGAGTAAACGACCTTTAGGGTAGAAAGTGCCAATATATGTTACAAAGCTCACTCTATTCAAAATTTTATGATCCTTTCTCAGTGGCCTTCATTTAACTGTAAAATCATTTCTACTATTTATTTTAAAGATTTCATTTTATTTTTAAATGATAAAAACGTTATATAATTGTACTGCATCATTTAAATGTCTTTCAAAAAGCTTTTTTTTAAAGTTTATTTATTTTGAAAAAGAGGGTGCATGAGTGTGAGCGGGGTAAGGGCAGGCAGAGAGAGAGAGAGAGAGAAAGAAAGAGAGAGAGAGAGAGAGAGAGAGACAGAGAATCCCAAGTAGGCTCCATACTCAACACAGGTCTTGAACCCATGAACCGAGAGGTCAAAACCAAGAGTAGGATGCTTAACCAACCAAGCCACCCAGGTGCCCCTCAAAAAGCATACTTTCTACCACGGTTTTTTATTTTTAAATATTACAGCCTCACATATGATGACAATATATTGTATGTTATTATAATTAAGGTGCTATTTTGCACAAATTTTAGATACCTATGACTAAAAGATAAAAGATGCTTCCAGAGTGAATGAAATCAAATACCAAAAATATAGATTACCTCTAGAACCGGTGCCCGCAAGACTTTTTACAATAGAAGTCCTTTCAGCAGAAAACAATTTGATTCCAGTGCTGAAGTTTGGGCAGAAGGTCTGGATTCTGGGTCAACATTTTTATGATTATTGAGAAGTCACATTACCTTTTATGTGTTTCAGTTCCAAATACTTTAACACAAGTAAAGTGCAGGAGATTATTCTTAAGTGCCCTCCAGGTTTTAGAAGTCATAGTTTAGGAAGAAAGACCACAATCATACTGACTGCCTGGTTAACAGAAGACTTAATAAAAAGTGTAGAAAACTGGATTTGTGGGAGGAAGATGATACTTCATGGAGAATGCAATCACTTGGGGCCTTGATCTCCCAGAAGAAATCTCAAAGAAGACGATCTGATTTCCCACCACCAAGTGCGTTGTGGGATTCCAACAGCCCACACCGCAGCATCATTGCGTCTGGGTCCTGCACAATGCAAGCAACACACAGCACGATCACCTTCACTCAGGTCCCTCAGCCCAAACAGCACGTATTCCCGAAGGATCTGGCCTCTGGTGCCCTGTTTCTGCGTCATTTAATTCAGCCTCGAACAGTTCCGCTGAGGGAGGAAATGGAAGCCGGAGAGAGAGGTCACAGCGTATCAGCAAAACAGCCTGCAGACACTGTCCTCTTCCTGTCGGCCATTCGTGGCTGGAGCAGCCACGTGTACAGCCACACAGGGGTTTCCAGAAGTCCTCACAGAGCAGGAAGATGGACCCGCCCAGGCCTGGGGTGTCGCCCCTCCCGTGTCCCTCTCACCACACCAAGGTCTCTCCCCGTGCCTTTGAGTGCTGTTTACTTTGACGGCAGCTTCCACCTGGGCTCTCCTTTGTGACTCAGACTCTAGAGGTCCTGATTCTGGAATTTCTGCCCATGCTGATCCACCCCTCCCTTCCTTGTCCGCTTTGGGGGTTCGGGCACGACTATCGCCACGTGCATTCTTTCCCTGTGCTAATGACACATAGCCCCCCGGGGCTACACTCTGGGCAATAGAATCTGTGTCACAGACAGAGTAACAGAGCATTTAAAGAAAATGAGAATCACTTCTTTTGAAAGAAGAAAAAATACTCTTTAAAAAATAAAAAGAAAGAAAGAAAGAAAAAGTACTCTTTTAAAGAACCAAATCATCATTCCTAATGAAAGAAGCTGTTAGAACTTTGTGTGTGTCTTATTATTTACAAAGAATTTCAGTAGCTAGAACATCAATAATGCAAGCTAAGTGTCTGATTAACTCCTTGTGGTCAAGGACACATATTTAGTGTGATAAATATCCATTATTGTCTCACAGAGCAATACCAGAAAGTCTAATATCTATGAAAAAAAACAGAAAAAAGGAAACCAATATGAGGCTCCATTCATAAATCATAATTAGCTCTCAAAGACCAATATATTTCGTTATGAATATAAATCTCGATAAGACAAAACTATGAAAATTTCATGACTTCAAAGCCTTCAATTAAAATGAAAATGACTTGTTTGAAATTTGATTTTTATGCGTACGACAGATAAAATACCAAAAAAGGCATGAAATATTGAAATCAACTTTAATAAGCCCTAAATTCAAATGACCAAAAGAAAATGAAATATACGGCATATGGCTCAACGAATGGGTTTTTAATCTAAATTTTTTAAAAAGGGGGCTTTAGTAATTGATTTTTTAATTAATACAACTGTCAAGAAAAACTCTTTTGAATCTAAATTGAATAACGTATTTTTTACTTCAAAATGCGGTACGAGTAAGGATGAGGATAACTCTACACAGCATCTAGTGACTGTTCAACCGTCCTCTGAACTCGGGCTGGAAAAAGCTAAATCAAGCCTAGTGTAAATGTCAGAAATGTTTGCCTGGTCCGTGGAAAGTTTAATTTGTACTTCTATGAACCCATATTCCATTCTTCCTTACCTTTTAGCCATAGTCACCGCTTCAGCAATTGTCAAAATGTGGTGAAAATAAGACCACTAAATTTAATTCGAGTTGGGGGAAGAAAAAGCACATCTCTTACCCTGGCAGAGCGGGGCGAGAGAATCCCACTGATACATGCCAACTGGGTTCCGTCTACAGGTCGCGTTGCTGTGGCCGATCATGCGATACCCAGGCTTGCAAAAATAATGCACTTGACTTCCAACCGCCCCCGTGGTCCTGTTGAAAATGCCTCCATTCTTCGGAGTGTGGGTCAGGCTGCAGTAGGGTGCTAGGGACACACAAACACACACAGATGTAAACAGATACATAGGCACTGCTGCAGTTCCCTCGGTGAGAGCAATATACACGAGGTATCTTTATTGTTTAAGTACTGGGAAATCAGCACCAATATGTCGACTTGGTCTAAAACACATCCCCAGATACCAAAGTCTGGCAAGGGTAAGGGGCAACAGGAAGTCTCATTCGTTGGCTGTGGGAATACAAAATGGCCACTTCAGAAGACGGTGGCAGTTCCTTACAAAACTAAAATTCTCTCGCTCAGAGAACTTAAAAATGTATGTGCACACATCCAAAAAACCCTACACATAAATGTTTACAGCAGCTTGATTCATAATTGCTGGAACTTGGAAGCAACCAAGGGGCCCTTCAGTAGGTGACAGATAAATAAACCGCGGTCCATCCGGACAACGGAATATCCTTCAGCAAAAAGAAATGAACCGTCAAGCCATGAAAAGACATGAAGGAACCTTAAATGCGTATCACTCTGTGAAAGAAGCCAGTTTGAAAAGGCTACGTACTGTGTGATCCCAACTATGTGATCATCTGGAAAAGGCAAAACTAGAGAGACCCTAAAAAGTCAGTGGTTGCCAAGGGCCAATGAGCGGGATGTATAAACAAGTGGAGAGTAGAAGATTTTTAGGGCAGTGAGACCACCATGTATGACACTGTAATGATGGATACACTCCGGGATACATTGGTCCACACCCACAGAACGTACAACACCAAGGGTGACCCTGACGTAAACCACGGACTCTGGGTGATAATGACATGTGTGCGTAGGTTCACTAATTAAAACAAATGCCCCGTGTGGTGGGGATGTTGATAACGGGGGAGGCCTGCGTTGTGCTTGTGGGGGTAGGGGGTACTTGGGAAGTCTCTGTATCATTTCCTCAGTTTTGCTATGTTACGAACCTAAAACTACTCTGAAAAAATAAAGTCTAAACAAACAAACAAACAAAAACAAACAACAACAACAACAACAACAAAAACACAACAAATTCCCCAAAGCCCAGAGCCAAGGTTCCATCTCTTATTTTGAAGTTTAGATTGCTTGCAATTGCTACCCAGAGTGAAGGGAGATCTCGACTTTCTGGCTCAAATATTGTAAGGAAATACATGGAAAAATCAAAGTGAATTCCCTCACTCATCCTTTTGAAGCTAACCCACTTAAATAAGCTTACTGACCACCAGAATTAGAAATGGTAAGGTCCAGTACTGGCCACCTTATGTGAAACAAAACAATTCTCAAAAAAAAAAAAAAAAAGTATCCTTAAAATGGAGAAAATAGAAGGTTGTAACATTCTGCAATTACAGCTATTAACTTTTTCCTTGTCACTGTGGCTAAGTGGGTCTTGTGCACTGCACAGTGACGTAGACATTAAGCTTCTTTCTAACATATTCTAACATATGGGATTCGAATACAATCTGAAGAAAATGCACTACTCCAGGTCAATAAAAATCTTACAAGAGCCTTAATCACTGCCTTTGAAGGAACTTTTTTAAAATGGAGGACAAGCATTTGTTTAAAAAAAACAGTCTTACCTACACAGAATATAACATTTCAAAGGCTGAAGACTGACATCTTATTTATTCATTTAGAGAAAGAATGTATTCTTATTCTTACAAGACCAGTTTCGTTGCAGCGTATAATCCTAAGTCCCTTCAGATAAATTAAAACAATAAAATAAAGAAAGTAGTGAAGTTCTGGAAATGTGTTTCCTTTTGAAAGAAGAGGTTTAAATGTCCTCCTTCCCTGTGGGGGTTCCATAAAGAACACACATACAGGTCTGAATGCTTAATGTTGAACCTTTCCCTGGAAATAAATTCAGAAGCAACTTTTTGAAGGTTTTATATCATAGCGTTGCCCAGAAGCAATGTCTATGTGTCCAACCATGGTCCTGTGAGAAGCATCCTCAGAGAATATTCTCAGCTGGATCATCGTCTGAAATACCATTTCATTTTTTTTTAATGGACTCTTTTTTATTAAGTTAAGATTCACTAACTATTGTGAGAAACTTGTGATTCACTGCCCTATTTGCCATGCCATTTTCCATGTCCTCCTTCTACACTAAATTTTGTAAGTTTTGAGTCAACAGAGATGTTTATTTTAGAAAAGGAATAAGACACCCTGGCCTTCAGCTGCAAAAACAAAACAAAACAAAAAGATAATTTATAGGAAGAAGGTGCAGACTGTAAAACCCTGTTCCAACGGTAGAGATGAGATAACATCTGATATGTCCCTGAAGGGACAGGGAGACCTCAGAATTCACTGCATATTACCTGTGATTTTTGTCATAGTTCATTCTGTTAAGGGATATAATGCGCAAGATTGTCTAACTCCGTAGAGTCTGAAAACTGTCCATTTTCTCTTCTCTTTACTATGTTTTTTTCTATTGCCAGACTCTCAAAATATCTCCTTTCCTCACTCACCTAGAACAAGATATGGAGGGTCCCGGGGCAGTGGGCGGGGGGTGTAGAGCACCGAAAAGGGAAAGATTTGGGCATGAGGCCCTGCCTGTTTGATTCCTGGATATAGAAAGACATAATGTTCAATCACCAAACTCTGTTGGAAAATTAGGGCGGCATCCACTATGGGAGAAGACGGCAAGTTAGATATCTGGGGACTTCTGGGTACATGAGCACCCAGTGTGCATCTTTATCCCAACACAGACGCTCACAGGCTTCATTTAGTACAGAAGGCCCATTATTAACTGTGCACGGATGCAGCACACCTTACTGCACTGACTAGAGCCACCTTGCACAGCACTTGCTTTGTCCTTTTTACTTTCAGTTTCAAGCTGTGTTGATCACTTGTATTGCTCCTGTGTCTGGATGACCAATACGTCACATGTGTGAGACAGACGGAGGCTCAAGATACGATGTGTGGTCCTATTACAGGCTGGCACTCCCCGGCCCATGCTGCTATATTTCAGAGAAACGCTCATGTGATCACTGCTCTAGAACCACTGGTGATGAACCCCTAGCAGAAGTAACTCAATCACCAAATCTGTGAAAATCATCTGTCAGATGACGTACCCACTGACAAAACAAAAATTTACAGCCTTCTTTGAAATTCTCCATTTGCCTACTCCCCGAACACAGTTTAACAGAGAACTTATGGCTCAATAATGAATTAAAATATCCTTTGAAAGACAGAATTCAAGGTACAGTCCTATCACCATGCTACTAAGCAATCTGCCAGAGATAGAAGGAGACAGGTGATGTTCACTATGATTTCCCCTGCACTGTCCATTTTTGCACATTGGAAATACATTTAGGCAACTCTAAAGGGCTCAGTGTTTAGTTTTCAAAACAAGGAACATGACGAGCACAAATCCTGTCAGTGCCCTAATACTCTCGTAACTCATTCCAGTGGAAGCAATTTCAATGGTGAGCTCTTTGTTAATAAGCATTTTGAGTAACTACTTGGAGAGAAAGGGGAAGAAACGGAGGTCTGGGTGCATTTTATGAAACTTCATAAAGGAAGTTTCAGGCCCACTGTCTGCACATCAAGAGCCTTTTCAAATCTTGATACTTTTTTACGATTTCATAGCTCCCAACAAAAGAGCTGAAATCTTAAACACTACTAAGACTTTTGGGGGCACTTGGGTGGCTCAGTTGGTTAAGTGCCCAACTCTTGACTTCAGCTCAGGTCATAATCTCATGGCTTATGAGCTCAAGCCCCACATTGGGCTCTGTGCTGACAGTGTGGAGCCTGCTTGGATTCTCTGTCTCTGTCTCTCTCTCTCTTTCTGCCTCTCCCTGGCTTCCCTGCTCTCCTTCTCTAAAAATAAACAGACTTAAAAAAAACCAAACTACTATGACTTTTTGCTGTTCCCCCTTCAGGAGGTTTCTCAGACTGACCACGTAAAATACCAACATAGGAATCAATAATCCTCTGGTGAATCATCGCTCAATTGAATGCGTCTAACGGGCTTCTTCCTTAGGGAAATGTACCTCAGTTATCACCATGGGATATGGTGGAGTGAGATACTGAAAAAAGCGTACGCTTTTTTCTTAGTAATTAAAATATATGAGGAATTTAAATTGTCTGTCTACTGCTTCGGTAGGACAGTATAAACATTAGGTATTAGGTCGTATTACAAACGTATGCAGGATTTAGTGTACATAAATATATTGACTGACTTAATATGAAAAACATAGGCAGAGAATAATTAAAATACATGGGTAAAGGACAAAATGATTTAAATGTTGACAAATAAATATACATATGCAAACATGTATTAATTTTGTAAGTGTTCATATACATATGTATATATATGTGAATAGAGTCTCCAAGTATATAGAGATATACAGATAGATAATCAATAATAAGACATGCTATTAAGAGATTATTACCACTTATAAAACTAGTAGCAATATGAATATCTCTTCCTGTTTGTTTCCTTAGCATTTAACCCTACTTTTACATTAGTTTATATTATATTACTTTATCTTTTAGAGAAAATGCCTTTGCTTTCCCTAATTCAATTCAAGGTTTTATGATTTTAGCAATAATTTTTAAAATATTACTCAACAAGGGGTGCCTGTGTGGCTTATTCGGTTACATGCCTGGTTTGGGCTCAGGTCACGATCTCATGGTTCATGAGTTTGAGCCCCGCATCAGGCTCTCTGCTGTCAGCACAGAGCCTGCTTCGGATCCTCTGTCTCCCCGACTCTCTTCCCCTCCCCCCTCTTAAAAATAAATAAAAATATAAAAACAATATTAATCAATAAATGGTTTGTTTTCCCGACTGTAGTTTAGAGATCTGTCTCTCTCAGAGCAGTTTCCCATCATATTGTTTCTATGGGAGTTAATTGTTTATCTTTGGGGATTAGGTTTACTTTACAAATCTCTAAATTACTTTTTTTTAACTAATGCAGACCACTTGTATTAAAAACACCTTTCTGCTAAACTAAACCTCACTTACTAACCTGTATATCGAATCTTGAATCCTTTCTTACTGGTTGCATGATCGGTGGACCAGCGGAGATATAACTGATTACTCCTGCTTGTAAAATTGGATTGTTCAGTGTGGTTCCCACTTAAGACCACTAACAGAGGACTTTGACCAGAAGAACCTAAATGAAACAGAAAGACAAAAAAAGTTCAGGTACGAGCTAGCACCTACAAAATGCAGACTACCTTTAGCTTTTTTACTAAATTTATGGGTCCAAATGTACAATACACAGCTATTCATTTCCCAAACACAGAGTTCCAAATTAATAAAGCAGCAAGTATATTCCCTGATTAAAAAACAAACAAAAAGCAAGAGCCAATCAAAATACTTGCACATTTCTAACACATAACACATAGATCATATGAACCTTGCCTATAAAGCAGGAATGACTGGAATAAAAGTAATTTTTATCATCATTTGTATTGACAGTATGGTAAATGTACGGGGAAATAGAAACTTTCGGGCAATGATGCAGAAGTAGAATCACTTTGGAGAATAATTTGGCAACATCCAGGAAAACTGAGGATTTACTTATATTTCTATAAACTTCAGCACCTGTGCGCGAGTATTATTTCCACAGCCAAACCTTTGTTCTGTGTGGGGAAACCTACATCCTAACTAATACTTTGGAATTTTAGAAAATAATTTAAAGTGCCATGGAAAGGAATTCTATACACATTTGAAATTAATGAACTAGGTAACAGGGATCAGCATAGATGATTCTTTAAACAGCATACTGATGACTAAAGAAATCTATTTGCAGATAAATATGATAGCAATTGTGTAAAAATTCCAAAGTGGACCGAAGATAGAGTATGTGTGTCTGTAGAGAGATAGGAGATGATATAGATAGAGATACATAGTTAGATGACAGAGAGATAGAGAGACAGAGAGACAGACCGATAGATGGACAGAGATAGAGCATTAACCATAAAACATGGGACAAGCATGTCCCCTCTTCACAATACCGTTTCCTGTAGGAGAGGTACACGTGGTATTGGATATGGGCGGGGCCCCCAAATTCCTTTTTTTAAAAATGTAATTTATTGTCAAATTGGTTTCCATACAGCACCCAGTGCTCATCCCAACAGGTGCCCTCCTCAATGCCCATCACCCACTTTCCCCTCTCCCCCACCCCCATCAACCCTCAGTTTGTTCTCAGTCCTTAAGAGTCTCTTATGGTTTGCCTCCCTCCCTCTCTGTAACTTTTTTTTCCTCCGTCCCCTCCCCCATGGTCTTCTGTTAAGTTTCTCAGGATCCACATAGGAGTGAAACCATATGGTACCTGTCTTTCTCTGCCTGACTTATTTCACTTAGCGTTAACACTCTCCAGTTCCATCCACGTTGCTACAAAAGGCCGTATTTCATTCTTTCTTATTGCCATGTAGTATTCCATTGTGTATATAAACCACATCTTCTTTATCCATTCATCAGGTGATGGACATTTGGGCTTTTTCCACAATTTGGCTATTGTTGAAAGTGCTGCTATAAACATTGGGGTACCAGTGCCCCTGTGCATCAGCACTCCTGTATCTCTTGGGTAAATTCCTAGCAGTGCTAGCTGAGTCATAGCGTAGATCTATTTTTAATTTTTTGAGGAACCTCCACACTGTTTTCCAGAGCGGCTGCACCAATGTGCATTCCCACCAACAGTGCAAGAGGGTTCCCGTATCTCCACATCCTCTCCAACATCTGTAGTCTCCCGATTTGTTCATTTGAGCCACTCTGACCAGTGTGAGGTGGTATGTTAGTGTGGTTTTGATTTGTATTTCTCTGATGAGGAGTGACGCTGAGCATCTTTTCATGTGTCTGTTGGCCATCTGGATGTCTTCTTAGAGAAGTGTCTATTCATGTCTTCTGCCCTAAATTTCTTTGTACTCCTGGCCTCTTTAAAAAACCAGAGCCTAAGGTAACTTTGACAAAATCCTAAAATTAATTACATTAAGAAATGAGTCCATATGTGTACACCTTCTTGTACATTTGAAACAATTAAATTTCTTTTAACATTTATTCATTTTTGAGAGACAGAGAGAGACAGAGCATGAGTGGGAAAGGGGAAGAGAGAGAAGGAGACACAGAATCTGAAGCAGGCTCCAGGCTTCGAGCTGTCAGCTCAGAGCCCACCACGGGGCTTGAACTCACGAACTGCAAGATCGTGACCTGAGCCAAAGCTGGACGCTCAACTGACTGAGCCACCCAGGCGCCCCACACATTTGAAATGCTTAAATATTCAAGAAACAAACTTACTATCTAACACATAGTTAATAGAAACAAGTGCAACTAGGTATTTATCCAAGGGATACAGGTATGCTGTTTTGAAGGGGCACATGCACCCCAATGTTTATAGCAGTGCTATCAACAACAGCCAAAGTATGGAGAGAGCCCAAATGTCCATCAAGGGATGAATGGATAAAGAAGAGATGGTATATATGTACAATTGAGTATTATTCAGGAATCAAAAAGAACGAAATCTTGCCATTTGCAACTATGTGGATGGAACTAGAGGATATTATGCTAAGAGAAATTAGAGAAAAACAACTATCATATGATTTCGCTCATATGAGGACTTTAATATACAGAACAGATGAACATAAGGGAAGGGAAGCAAAAATAATATAAAAACAGGGAGGGGGACAAAACATGAGAGACTCATAAATACAGAGAACAAACAGAGGGTTACTGGAGGGGTTGTGGGAGGGGGGATGGACTAAATGGGTAAGAGGCACTAAGGAATCTACTCCTGAAATCATTGTTTGCACTATATGCTAATTTGGATGTAAATTTTTAAAAATTAAAAATAAAATTAAAAGAATGATGTGATATAGATATGTATATACATATATCATTATATATACATATATATGTATATTATATACAATGGAGTATTACTCGGCAATCAAAAAGAATGAAATCTTGCCATTTGCAACTACATGGATGGAACTGGAGGGTATTATGCTAAGCAAAATGGGTCAGAGAAAGACAAATATCATATGACTTCACTCATATGAGAACTTTAAGACACAGAACAGATGAACATAACAGAAGGGAAGCAAAAATATATAGAAACAGGGAGGGGGACAAAAGATAAGAGACTCTTAAATACGGAGAGCAAACAGAGGGTTGCTGGAGAGGCTGTGGGAAGGGGGGATGGGCTACATGGGTAAGGTAAGGGGCACTAAGGAATCTACTCCTGAAATCATTGTTGCACTATATGCTCACTAACTTGGATGTAAATTTTTAAAAATTAATTAAATTAAGAAAAACAGAAACAAGTGCGGTACATTGTCAACCACCATTAGCCCTGCCGCCACGATACTTCCTGAGAGGAACTGCTCTATTGGATACAGAAGCTGTATTCCCACTTCCAGGGAGTCATCTACAACAATCCCTGCTGGTGAACTCAACGCCCCCTCATAGTCTGACATCTCTGGCCCTTCTACATTGCGCGGCCCATTCCCAGGAAACTCACTACGTATGAGTGGGAGAATGTGGCCCTCGCTGCTAGATGTAGTCCCCATCTCATCAGGTTACATGACTCACTTTGAGATTTATGCAGCATCTTTATTCGTGCAAAGGGACTGAGAACCTACAACTTCACTTCTTGTGTAAGTGCCAATCAGAGCAGTTAAAATTATTAAGAAGAAGAAAAAAAAAACCGTTATGAACTGAATTGTGTTACCCCAATGTATATGTTGAAGTCCTATCTGCTAGTACCTCAGAAGGTGACTATGTTTGGAGATAATGACTTTAAAGAGAGAACTTTAAAGTTCAGGAAGGACACTGGAATGAGCCCTAATCTAATCTTATTGAAGTCCAAAGAGGACATGTGGACACAGACAGGCACGGGACGACCAGGGGAGGACCCAGGGAGAGACAGAGGCTATACGCCAAGAAGAGACTCACAGGAGAAACCAGCAGCGCCCCCACCTGGATCCCAGACCTCTCACCTCCAGGACCAGGAGACAATACATTTCTGCTGCGTAAGCCCCCCATTTGTGGTACTTTGTGATGACAGCCTTAGTCATCAAGTAGAAAAACCTAGCACATTAGAGATGATCAGGGCAGTGTTCAGTGTCACTAGAGCAAAGTCGGATCAGATAAAATGCTCCTTCTCAGTTTCCTGGAAGATGTCCCATAAAAGGATGACTGTATTTTAAAATTAAAGAAGACAGTAATGGGTTTGGGTGCTGGCTTTTTGTTGTTGCTGTTTAAAGGGATAATACATATTCTAAAATAAAATAACACTAGGAAATTCATGAAATTTTAACATGACACTTTGAATGACAGAACTCGAGTCAAGTTTCAGGTATTCTTAATCCAACATCTCATTCTTCCTCATTTTCTATCGGTTCTTCCTTCCTAACATGTAACAAGCTTTCTCAAGGAGTCTTCTTTAAAAAGTCACCTCCACAATCAGCACGTGGAGAAGAACACAGAGCCACAAGGAAGAGCAGCAGTTTCCATCACCAACATGGAAGCGATGAAGGGTGTTACCAGTGAACACCCCAATCTTTATGTTGACACCTTTCTCAGTTGAGTTCTACAATGATTAAATCTTTTTTATTTATTTCTTTAATTGAGGAATATCCATTATTGGAGCCACAGAAAGTAATATACTCCTGGGATAATGAATCTTAAAATCAATATATTCAGCATATTTTTCACAACTCATGAGCCATAAAAAAGCCACTATCTTACAGAAGAAAGAGAGAGGGAAAGAGAGATAACAGAGAGATGCACTAAATATGACATTCAATGCAACAAAAAGGTCAACACTTAATAAAATCTTCATATAAAACTGTCTCCTTTCATCTTATAGTCAAATGTTTGAGACTAGAACAAACCTAACCACGGTTCTCGGATAATTCTGTTAGCAGCAGCTTTGATATTATCTCTATTATCTACTTTGTGGTAATGGGTGTGCTTCATCCCTATTTTTGGGAGATCAAACTGTAAGCACCTAGGCACAGATACCGGTAATGAGGTTGTTGCTGTGGTTGGAAGCAGAAGAAGCACCGTCAGCTAAATTCCAATCCAACGACAGTGAGACAAGGGAACACGAACACATGTAAGGTAATTATGTCAGGATGTTAGTTACATCCAGCAATGGATTGGAATATGTACACAAACACACACAGCCCCTGGAGTGGGGAATATGTGTACACACAC